GGTCGACTGGACGAACGTAGAGTGCTACCAGGTGTGAGCGTGCGCAGAGGAAGACGCAGTAGATGGTAGAATCGAGAAAATGAATTCATAGCGTTAACACTACTACGCTATCACTAAGCTACGCGCAACCAACCATCGATGTATCGTCGGAGGAACACCTTGGTTGCGCAAGAGGACTTGTTGGTGTGCGAAGAGACACCTTGGACTGAAGGTGTGTCGACTAGTCATCCGGTTAGTAACCGGATGATGGACACGGTTACAGCAGCTCTACGTCGACGGTACGTCTAATCCCCCATTGAAGACGTTCTATGGGTGCAGGGCTACTCAACGCCACCGCACTACTCCGGAGAACACGTACTTTCTCGAAACGTCGGATCAACTTTACGTGACGTCGTCGTCGTTTGCGTCGTTGCATGAGTATGCAGAGGAGCCTGGTGATCCTTTTGCGGAGCATTGCGGACAGCGCGTGATTACTTGCATTGCAAGGCCATGCCTGGGAGTTGACTCTCCGCAAAAGGATTACCAGGTAGTGTTGCATCGGTTGCATTGCAACAAGCAACTATCGTACATTGCGTCTATGTCCGGGCTTGAATACGAATGTGTGTCAATTATCCGGCATGTGGCCCATCCAATCGTTTTGATCCATTTTTAGAGGTACATATAATGTTATAGAGTTTTCGATACTTTGCTATCACCGGTGGTTTCACCGTTGTATGCATTGCTGTGTTCATCCACGGTGGCACTTTGTAAGAGTGGTTATCACCGGTGAAACCCCCCAGCATAATTTGCTGTATGGGTGGGGGTGGTGGTAGAAGTGGAGATGGAAACGACGATTTGGCGGAGCTATTTTGTACGAAAACGAAGCGGAGGAGGACAAACATATGTTTTATTTATAGCCAATGAAATTTGAGTACCACTTATTCGATCCAGATTCCTCGGCTGTCAAGCGGACTATTACTGTAATGGGCTTACCAGGCGTGCAAGTCGTTCAACGCAACCTGCCGGATTCCCATAAGGAATATCATTGACCAAGGTGTCTGCATCCACCAATCCATCTCGATGAGATATTGTAAAGTCGGCATGTGGAATACAGTACTCGTAGACCCATGCACTAGTTGTGATTGGCCTTCATCAGGAATTAGTTCCATTCGTATGGTGCCCTGCATCTATAAACTACCCATTGGCCATCCAACTAGATACCTGCAACGGCATAATTCCCTCATTAACATAGTCCACTGTTGTTTTGACCCCTAATACTGTTTCAAAGAGAGAATTATCACTGTAACCTGGGACTCCGTCCTACCACCGGTGAGTACTACCGGTACATACGATGCTAAATCTCCGGGGTTAAGAAAGAGGTGAGGTGGTCCGAGCATAAAAAGTTCCAATAAAATTGTACCCTGTAACGAACTGTATATGGATACATTGTACCAGATAAACTCAAATGATACTACCGGTATTGTTTTGGGCAAGTCAGGAAAATCGTTAACGAATGCTGAACACTACTAGTAGTACTATGCAAAAATGAAGCTGAAAAACGTGAAGGATTTCTACTATCAAGACGGACGAGGAAGTACTAGTACGCGATATCCAAGGATTTATGTTGCTACACTACCGGTAATAACCCCGTAGTACACCTTAGCGGCTTTCCAGGGTCTATCAGCATTGGTGGGTATTAGCAGTATCTGCTAATGGTCAAGACTTCGTGGTATGTATAGTTCAACATGTTTTCCCAGTCACTGGTGCTTAACCCTAACCTAACCAGACAGCTGCTCGGCAGCCAACAATCTACTAGCGAATAGGTTTGCATACATCATATCCAACCTAATCGAACACTTGGATACCTTCTTGGGAGGGGTTCAGGGGCTCTGCGAATGGCAAATTCGCAACAATCGTCGTGTGAATGATCTACAGTGCTATATCTGGTGGGCGACAGTAGGAAAGCCAATTGTGAAATGAAACATCGGTACCCCATTTGACTTGCGACGTCGTTAAGATTACAATATACCGCAAAATGTTTCTTGTCAATGATTACCAAGTCTCTACATTTCTGTCTGTACCTACGCGACATCCAAGGCTTTATGTTGCTGCAATGTAGGCAATCAGAGTGTGCATCTACCGGTAAGACCTCCAAAACTTCGAGTGGATACAGATGTTCATGCAATTGTTGAGTTTGTATTATCACGGCCGATACTACTAGATACACATGTTATCGAACCGCTTCGCCAATTAAAACGCAAGGGCGGTGTGTAATCTTCGGTTTTTACTTCGCTCAACGCTTCATACCACTCATTACGGACGACGGCCAATCACAACTAGTGCATGGATCTACCAGTACTGTATTCCACATGCCGACTCGGCCCTCGCAGAGGAATGACTTGACATGATATCCAAACTCAATTAATCCACATGCCGACTTTATACAATATCTCATCGAGATGGATTGGTGGATGCAGACACCTTGGGCTTGGTCATGATATTCCTTATGGATCTACGAGTAATCTATTCCACATGTCGACTTCAATATCTCATCGAGATGGATTGGTGCATGCAGACACCTTGGTAAAGATATTCCTTATGGGAATCCGGCAGGTTGCGTTGAACGACTTGCACGCCTGGTCTTCGCTTCAATGGTCGACATTTTTGGCCAACTTCATTTTCCTTTTTGCTCTACGATGGTCAAAGTCCTCATCTCCCTCAGCGTGTTGGCCGCTGCCGCTACGGCTGGCTCCGTCACGGAACTCCCCGAGTCTGTGACCAAGCTCATCGACTACTCCATCAACCCCTGCGACGACTTTACCAATATGCGTGTGGCGCGTGGTACAAGGATGCTGTGATACCCCCGGACAGACACAAAATCGATACGTCGTTCTACGAGATCAACATCCAAAACGAAGCCGCATTGACGAAGATTTACTCTGACAACACGACCAAGCTTGGTGAGTTTTACAACTCCTGTTTGGACACGGCTACGCTATCGTCGCTTGGCCTGACTCCGCTGGAGGACTCGTTCAAAGCCATTCGGTCGGCCAACACCACGTTGGACCTCCTCATCGTGGCTGGTGAATTGGCCAAGAACGGCATCCCTGCCTTCGTGGACATCAAATCTAGCGCTGACGACAACGACTCGACCAAGAACGCCCTCTTCGGTTTCCGAACCCCCCTGCCGCTGAGTCGCTCATACTACACCAACCATTCCAAGTGGGAGACCGTCGAAGCCGACTACATGGTGTACATTTCGACGGTGTTGCAGCTAGCTGGCTACACTACTGAGCAAGCGGCGGCTGCCGTGCCGGTGATCATCCGTTTCGAGCAAACGCTGGCGGGTGTCGCCCTCAGCAGCCTCGAGGAGATGGAGGTCGTTTTGTCTCGGTATACTGCGCTTACGTACTCCCAACTGGACCAGAAGTACCCGCTGCTTGTCGGCTCGTGGCTCAAGGCCCATGGCTTCGACATCTACGACCAGTGGGGTGGGTCGAACGACTGGGTGGGGTTTTACTACTTGAACTACTTTGACAAGACCGAAGAGTTGTTGAAGAACACAACGCTGGACAATCTCCGCACCATCGTGGAGTATAAGCTCATCCACGCCTCGTCGACCCACTTGACCCCTGAATTCCGCACGGCCAACTGGAACTTGTTCGGCAACAAGATCAATGGAGAACAGGTGGAACCTACTCGTGAAAAGTACTGCGTGTCTGAGACGGGCAAGACCATGGGGGATCTCTTGGGCCAGTACTTCTTAGACGAGGTATGGTCGGCAGATACTGCCAAGACGGCCGACAAACTGGTCAAGGCCTTGAAGTCGTCCTTCTCCACTGGCATAGCCACTGCCGACTGGTTGGACAACTCGACCCGCGCCAACGCGCAAACGAAGCTGTCCAAGTTTGTACACTTGTTGGGTGGCCCGGAGAAGCCGCAGCTGTACCCCACGCTGACGTTTGACTCGAAGTCGTTTTTGAACAACCAGTGGAAGGTGTCTCAAGTGAACATCGACACCAACTTAAAGCTGAAGGGCCAACCTGTGGACAAGCGCAGGTTCGCCGTGCCCGCCCATGAGGTGAACGCGTACTTCGATCCCTACGAAAACCTCATTGTGTTCCCGGCTGGCATTTTGCAAAAACCATTCTTTGACGGCCAGTTTGACGCCGCCCAGAACTTTGGTGCCATCGGGATGTTCATCGGACATGAAATTACCCACAGGTTTGACAACACCGGTCGCAATTACGATGGCGACGGCAACTGGAAACAGTGGTGGTCGAACGCCACCAACGATGCGTTCAAGGCGAAAGCCCAGTGCATTAGCGACCAATACTGCAACTTTGAGGTCAGGAGCGAATTGACTGGCGTTGTGTTGGGCAACGTCAGCGGCAATATCTCTTTGGGTGAAATCATTGCGGACAACGGGGGGCTGAAGACCAGTTTCCCTGCGTACCACGAGTACTTGAAGGAGTTCCCGTCCCAGTACAGGGAACGGTGCCGCCAATTATCGTTGTGATTGGATATTGCACTGACCAATGACGTATTAGGTCATCCCAAAATAGAACAGATGGATGGATATTATATTATACAGGTTATAGATATTAAAGATACAAATCAGCAAGGGCTCAACTTTCC